GTACGGTGTCGAATAATTTGGTGTCGAATAAATCTGTGTCGAATCGAGCGGTGTCGAATCGTACTGTGGTCAATAGAGTATCACCCAATAAAAATTAAAAATGGCCCAATAATAACTTACGCGGCATGCACACTCGTAATAAATTAAGACGCAACAACAAATAAATAAATAAATACAATAAATTACGGGATAGGAGGACCCTACGCCTGGCGCCCGCGATGCGCCAGGATCGCCATCTCCCGTTCCCCGTAACGACGGCGAATTGCTCGAGTATTGTCTCGGAGCGTTCCACCGGGTGACCGAGCAGCCGCCGCGTACTGCCGCACTCCGGAGACGTGCTCCACGTAAATGTCCCGCGACCAGCGTATGGTATCGGAGACCATGAGACAGCGCATCATCGTTGCGTACGTGGTGGAAACACGCAGCAGCTTCAACACCGCCTCATTCCTCCGGTCCCATGAGCCGAAGGAACCGACCACGAACGGCGTGACTACCACGGTACCCTTGCCGCGTGAGGGCCTCAGCAAGAGGAGTGTACTTGGTGACCTTCCTCGCTCTTGCTTCATCGAACGCCTCACGACGGTTCTCGAAGGGCACCGTGACGTCAACAATGATAATCGACTGCGACTGCTCGTGACGAATCACGAGGTCGGGCCGAAGACTCGTCAATTCGGGATCGACCCCTTCGACCCGCTGATTAATTCGGACTTCACCTGGCAGTTGGATGGCCCTAGCTAATCGTAGCAACAGGTCATCGTGCCTGAGCTGTACCGCGTCGGAATGGACCCCACAATGATTGATCACGTGGGGAAGGATCTCGGCATTTCCTCTGCACCGCCGACAACGCGCATCGCCCTCCCTCCACTGACGTGCGCCGTTGAGCGGCAACATGTCGAGTCGGGCTCGGTGCAAGAAGCGCCAGTCGGCGAAGCGGGTGAAGCTGCCAGTGCGCGTGAAGTGATTGCTCACTCCATGACGCATGGCCACCTCAAACACCCTCCCCTGATCCTTTTTGGCAAGCAATGTGCTCGTATAATACGACGCGATAGCCAGGCGTAGTGCATGGATGACCTGCGCCCGCGCTTCTGGTGGGATGTTCACCAGATTACCCCCCGTGCCCCGACACTCCAGAAGAAGCTCCCGCGTCTCTTCTGCCCACATCCAGCAGATCCGCAATCTGGAGGACTGCCGTCTACACGCGTTTCGCGCATCCGACCAAAGGGAGCGCTCTCCACCGTCGCGGAACTTTCTCTCGAGCGAGTCCGAAAGAAACGAAGCGATGTCCTGCTCCGTTGGTACTGAACCAATTTGCCGCTTAACCACTCCCCTCAGCGACGCCCACGCCAGGTCTCTGACTTCAGCGTCGCCAGCCGTGAAAACACGGAAGACGTGCGCTATCGTCAGGACGTCGGCAAGGTCAGCGAGCGGAAGCAGGCCACATCCCCCCTTGTTAAGAGGGAGGTAGACTACCTCCGCGCTGGCGCGCTGAGGGAAGGTGAGCCACGACTTGGCCAGCCTCCTTATCTGCTTGTCCGCGACCTTCACAAGGCCTTTCACTACTTTGGCACCCCGCAACAAGAAGTCGAGACGTGGCAGGATGTAAGTAGTCATCATCTCGACTCGCTGCCACGGGGCTAGCAAAGAGCGCTCGACGCGCTGCAAGTCCTTCATCATGCCCTCGATCGTAGAATAGGGGTTCTGATCAACGGAAAACTCCGTCGAAATGCCGAGGTGCCTATATCTTTCTCCTTCTGCCAGACATTGCATCATCTCTCCCTGGATCTCGAAGCGGGTCGGGAGGACGCGATCCAATCGCTCCGCTCGGATGTGCAAACGTGCACACTTCGCGGGGTTGAATCGCAGGGCTACCGACCGCGCCTCGGTTTTTACGACGGTGAGAAGTCGTAGCATCCTCTCTGGAATTTTGGCTACTACTGCGATATCATCCGCGTACGCTAGTGCGGACCACCGCTGCCTTAAGATGGAGTACCTCGCGTTTTCTGCGGTGGCCGCGCGCAGCACGAAATCAATCGCGAAATCGAACACAATGGGGCTTAAGGGGCATCCCTATTTAACTCCAGAGCGGATGTGGATTGGTGCCGACCCGTCGGACGTGCGCACACATGTTGTGGATCCTGCGTACATGGACGCCCACAGATTTGTGAGGGACGCAGGCACGCCGGACCGAGCTAAAGCCCTCCTGATCGTCGCGTGCGGAACCGATCCAAACGCATTGGATAGATCCAGCCATGCCACGACCAATTTTTTCTGAGATCGTTTTGCGTCTGTCAGGATTTCCTGCAGGACGAAGTTGTGCTCGTAGCACCCCGCGTCCCGCAGAAAACCCTTCTCTATTGAGCTGAGCTTATTATGAACTATCGCCCAGTCCGTCAGACGATCGGCTATGACCGCGGCGAAGAGCTTGGGCGTAGTATCGCCCATAGCGAGAGGGCGCCAAGTTGCCAGATCATTCTGGTTGTTTTTTTTGTATACCAATACGGTGTTGGAGTTCTTCCAGGACGCGAGAACGACCTATAGGCGCATACAGATGTTAAAGAGCGCCGTGAGAAGACGTGATCCAGGATCCGCTACACGGAGGTCCTTGTAGGTCAGCCCGTCGGGCCCCGGCGCGGAGGTACTCACGCGCCGGATGCGACGTTCGACCTCTCGCTCCGTGAAGGGATCCGTGAGGAACGCCAACTCACCATCCGTCAGAGGCTGGATTGGTTCCACGGCGTCGGCGCCATCCAGCGGCAAGCCGCCGCGGTATAGCTCGGTGAAGTAGTCATGAACCCGTTCCTTCCGCACTTTGCAGAATTCAGGGGGCCCATGAAGTATTTCCCGGACGGCCTTGCTTCGGCTGCCCCTGTATAGCGCCTGTATACGCGCCGCTTCGCGCACCCAGTTCGCGCGTCCTTCTCCCAGAGTTCCCTGGCGATTTTCCTCCCTATTGGCGCCGTCTTGTTCACCAGGCGCATGTCCAGCTTCTCGACGAGGTCGCTCCGACCCCGCACGCACTGGACGATTTGCGGGTACGCAGCGTCGATGCCCAGCGTCCGTTGCATCCTTCCCGAAGTAGGTCGCGACTTGCGCCGCGAAGTCCTCCAGGTCCGCAACCGAGGCAACGCCCGCCGCACGCCCAACCAGCGCGTCTTTTTCGGCTAGCCCCGCGCGCCCGCCCCGCCTCTCAGCGGGAACGGGACGCGGCGCGAGTCGCTGCGGAGACGGCTGGGGGGGCGCATTGTTGACGGGACGCCGCGGGCTCTGCGCATCGGCGGACGCACCGCTGCGGGGCGATCTCGTTGTATCCCCGCGCGCCCGCCCCGCCTCTCAGCGGGAACGGGACGCGGCGCGAGTCGCTGCGGAGACGGCTGGGGGGGCGCATTGTTGACGGGACGCTGCGAGCTCTGCGCATCGGCGGACGCACCGCTGCGGGGCGATCTCGTTGTATCCCGCTCGACACGCTCTTGGGTCGTGAGATTTGTATTTACGGGAGAACGCCCCNGGCGGCGGGCACGCTGACATCGTTCAGCGTTCCGGCGCTCGGGGCTCCCGGCTTGCTCGCTCCGAGCCTCCACTAATGGGGGACTATTGTCCCGTTCCCCCCCGGGCAACGGAAGGGGGGGAAAGTTCGCTGACGTTACGGGTGGCGGGGTACGCGTCGCCCGCGACCCTGACTTCGCCGGCGCTAAAATTGAGGAATTGTTCGCGGGGGGTGTGGCGGAGTGTCTTCTCCCCGCTTTTCGCCCGCGGCTCACGGTCCATTCACCACCGCTTTGGACTTCTGGTGCCCCACTATCCCTCGCTGGTGGCGTCGACCTCCGTTGTTGCTGCTGCTGCTGCTGCCGCTTTTGCTGCTCCACCCCGGGGTGTTCGTGGGGTGTAGTCTTCCTCTTCTTCGTCTGGCCACACGCACCCTCTCCCAGTACGAGGGAGAATCCCTCGCTGCAGGGTGCGGGCGACCAGACGGACCGTTTTTGCACCACCGGCGGTGACTGACGTTTTGCTGGTAAGGGGGGGCTTTGTGTCCTGCGCCCCTTCAGTGGGAGACCTGTTGCCATGATGGGGCTCCCGCACGTCGTTGTTGTCACCGTGGTGGTGGTGACGGTCGCGGGCAGCGACGTCGTGGTCACGTATTGTTGTAATAACGCGGGTGGCACCGTCACTCGGATGTTGGACGTGATCCTCGGTGCCCCCGCTGCTGGTATCGGGGGAGGTGATGGTATGCCGAGGGGGGGTAATGTCACCTCCTTGCTGCTGGCTTCCCCCGAACGTGGCGACGCCGCTGCAGCCGGTATCGACGCCACGGGACTGCCGGACAATGTACGGGCCGGCATAGCTGCAGAGCTCTTCTCGGGTGATACCCTGGCGTTCTGCAGCCACTGTGACGACGGCCCCTTGTCTCCGTCTCCGGGCTTCACTCGCCTCAGAGACAGGGAGAATTTTCGCCTCGATGCTCTTCTCGACCGGGGCGTTTGTGACCGTCCGCCTCTCCAAAGATGCACGCAGCCCCCCGCTGGTGGTTTGCGGGGGTGATTTTTGTGCGGACGGCCTTTTGCTGGCGACGCCCCCCACTGATGTCCTCGCTGTCCCGTCTTTTGGGGAGCGGGGGTGCGCACGCACCGATCTGGCAGCTCCGGATGTCCTGCTGGGCGCGCCGTGCGCCTGCCGCATTCCTGTGGTCTTCTGTGGCGATGGTGTCGCGGCGGGCGATCTCGATGTTCTTGAGGTTCCTCCTCCCTGGCGGTGTAGCTGCCTGCTGATGAAGGGGTTGGGAGGGGGAGGGCGGCGCGCAAGCGACGAGGTGCCGGCTTTCCTAATAATGCTGCTACCTCCACTCGAGAGGGTAGATAAATCCGCGACCGACTCTCTCCTGGCGGCAGTAGTCCTCCTCGTGGACGCCTTGTTTGGGACGGCCCCCTTTGATGGTCTCGGCTGGGGCACCGTCCCCGCAGCCGTCGCTCTCGGCGGCCTCATGGTGATGGCGGCCGCTTGTCCTGCAGTGACGGCTGCGTAAGTGGGGGATGGTCCTGGTGGCGTTGATGTTGCTGGAGAGGGCCCGCTGGGTTGTGTCCTAGAAGCTGGGCGGGCCCTCTTGGTGGCGGTGGTGGTGGCGCGTGCGCCGGCTTGCTGCGGGTTAACGGAGGGATTACGTTTTGAGGGGGGATTTCTATTAGTGGTCGAGGCCGCTGACGACGCGGAAGATGGCGCGGCTCCAGTTTCGCTAGATAACCTATTAGGACCCGCCTCCGCATCAACTGCGGGTTGGGGGTGAAACTTTTCAATGTGTAATTTTACGTCTTTTTGCGGGTACCTCGTCTTCCTCCTGTACCCGCAGAATCCAAATTTATATCCGATTGTATCTCCCGGGTGGTCTTTTTTCAGGTGTTTCGAGAGGTGAGGCGGGTCCGCAAATGTTCCCGCGCGCACGGACCGGCGTAATTGGTCGCTGCCGTGGCAGCGAGGACAAATCACGCGCGCGGGAAGCGGGATCTCGATTACAATCTCCCTAGGCTCGGCCTCTAGGGACATTTTTCGAACGCTTGGCACAGTGCCTGTGCGGATTCGCCTTAAGGAGTTTTTCGGGGTTGTTCCGCTTTGCGTCGCCTCGGTAGGCGACGACAACGCACCTGTCACACGAATTTACCACCGTACAACAACAATAAGGTAAGTATAACAAATAAATAAAATAAAATAATAAAATAAGAATATTCTTTGACAGGTGCGTGTGGATACGACGAGGATGCACGGGTGAAATGTACGCAACGACCTAAAACCCCGAGGTGCCTGCCAGATACGCCTCTGCGCACAAGTGTTACCAGCCGCAATCTTTTTATTAATTTTTAAAGTAAATTATAGTTTTATTGTTTTAATTTATATATGGTTAGGATTGGGGGGAGCGCGCTATCCCAACTTACCGTAACTTAACCCTCGTTTTAGTTTTTGTAACACTATAAATGTAATAATGCTCCCCCTACGTTTTGCAGGTTATGCGGCCTGGTGACTGTCAGCAGAGGCGTGTATATATAATATACAGGTAAGTATAAAAACAAAATATATTAATTAATTTGGCAGGCATCAAATACAGGCACTGTGAATAGATAAATCCCTGTAAAAATGATATTTCAGCGGCAGGCGAGTGGACGGAATACTGCACAGGACAGGAGTTCTACAGCTACACCTAACCTAAGCTGTCAAGGTGCTTCGGATGGAAATTGCTACAGATATACAGGGTCCGCCACTTAAATCCGGACAAATTTGAATTTGACATTCCCATCATATTAGAATGCAGCAGTAGGTGCCATATGACCTAAAGATAGGTTAGAGACGTCGATAAGACATTAATAACCTTAAAATG